AGCACGTTTTCACCCGAAACGAGGGAGGAAGACTCGTGGACTGCGTCAACATGAATATAATATAAAAGCTCGACGGCTGAGATTCATCCGTCCTCATCTGGTGAGATCGACAAACGAATCTCTTCTTCATGTACTTTTATTCGAAATGAAGGCCCCCTAACAATGTTATATCAGGAGATTCATCGAAACCAAGTTTATCTTCGTATCTACTTTTTTAAAGCAGATTTGATTCGTGGTCTAATAACTCATCATAGCCTAAGTAATGAATTATCCTTCTAAAGCTCTGGCGTCTATTTCTCCGTCAGAGTTTCAAATTGATTGCGTTTTTGCTCAGCAAATCTATACTTTCTATGCTCAAGTTTAACTCACTGTTTTTATCAGAGGTATGTATGTAGGTATATAAGGCAAGGGTCTAGAAAAGTATATGCTAGAGGTCAAGTTAATGAAATGGAAGGGATCACTTTACCCGCATCCAGCCGAGTTTAAATCCCATTTTTCGTGTAAAATATCCGAAATTCGCTCATCTAATAGGTATATTACATTATTTGCTTCTTTGTTGAGGCATAGCCTACCATTTCAGAACTAACGTTCTTCCTCTCTGCTGTGACATAGTACTTTATTTTGGGAGAGGAAACGATAAATGTGATCTTAAGATGCCCCCTCTCTAGCTACGGTTATTCTCGGCTCTAGGGGGAGAACTTGAAATAAATTTAATTTCGAGACTTTTAATAGATCTTGAATAGGAACTTTAATCTCCCTTGGTCGCTTGAGGTGATGAAGGACTGATAGTTAATTTCTCTATAATGGGATAAATGGTCTCGCGACGCCAATGAATTAATTTTGGTTCTGTAGCTGGCTTGCACTCGTGGTAGTGTGGCGTGGTGTTAGCATGAAGAAGTAATAACTGCTCTGTCCGGGTCTATTTCTCGTTTGGTGTGAATCCATACTTACGTTACCTATACGCCATTATGCCACGACTGCCGGTCGGTCGCAGGGAAGAAGAGAATTAAATAACATCGTGAGGCCTACTTATTCCAATGCAGGAAAGTTAACTACAATTCCTTCATTGACTTAAGTGACTAAAGGTCTTGTAGGAAAATTGCGCTAAAACATCTTGATATTCTAAAAATATTATTATTTTATTCGTATATTTAAAATAAATGGTAAATTTTCTTGCTTTCAATAGCTTAAATAGTTTAATACCTTTATGTTACGTGTTTCTTTTGGTATGAAAAGATATATATTTATGTAACTGCTTTGGCGAAACTCTCTAGCGTCGATCTGACTGCTCCATGTCGGATATTAGCTATACCTCGACACCTATCCTGAGACCTAATGGAAAATGATATACTGGACGATATTATGTTGTATAAATATCAGAAGTTGTACAAGGCTAAATTGGTATATGCATGCTCATGTAGAAAGTGATTAGGGCAGGAGTATTGATAGGGAAAATTGAGCTGGAGCGACGTACGAGGTTGGCATCCAGGAGACTAGCGGCCAGGTTAACGATGAAACTCCGTCAGAGTAAGAGGCTCCTAGCTTTAGAGGAGATGAGCGTCAGGACTTTCCTCTGGTTGATCCTTATGTAGACTGCTGATATAGGAGGGAGATTAGCGGACGACGGTGATCTGTGAATGCGGCATCTGATGACGGCGCACGGGATGAAAGCTGACCGCACCTGGAAAGATAGTTATCAGGGGAAGTTCATACGTTCAAAGCATTTCCTTATTAAATGATTTGTACGAATTAAAGACTATCTTTTGACTGGTTCAAAGAGTCACAGTCCGATATACTGGGACATGATTTTTCATTTCGAATAAGAAGTTAGTTGCTTATGCAGTTTATGATGAAAAGGAAAATATTTATTATTCATTGTCAAATTGATTAATCTACTGATTGAATCTTTGCCTAACTTGTTACCTGTTATGATGCGAGGATTTTGATCTAGTGTAAACTCTACTTCTTCGCATAAGCTCGGAAGCATTTATTGCCTTTTTTTGGAATATTAGTATACATAGGTATTACATCGAAACTGATCGACAAATCGCTCTCATCTATCGTCAATTTTCCCGCTCGTATTCATTTTCTTTAGTGTTTATTGCAATTCCCCTTCAATTTTAACTTTTGGGTCTTTTGTTAACAGTATATTCCTATCTGTTTATCTCAACTGTGGCACATTCTTCATCGATTTTAGAACAATTTGGTCGTTTTTTTTCTATTCTCTATATATCCTGCTATATTGCTCCTATCTGTGGTTTCTTGATGCGCTAAGATTTTTGGGATGATTTTTATTTACAGCTCTCTTTTTGATTCCTCTGGTAGCTTCCCAGAGGCATTTATCATTTTCAATAAAAGGTCTTTGATTTTCTTCCTTTGATTCTGAAGCTTAAACTTTAATCCATTCTTGAGGATCTTTGTGCTTTCCAGGTCAAGGGAGGAAGAAGAAGGATTCGACACCTTTTATCTGGACTATGAGATTAGTCATTTTAAAGCAATCTTAGTTTTTGTCGGTTGATTGATCGTAGATATGAAGACCAAGATGGTGTAGCCTTCTGCTTGATCGCAGTTTCATTTAGCTCTAGATTGATGGTTTGTCCTTGTTTTCGTAACCCGGTCAGAGTATCAAGGAGACGTTGAATGTACCTAGTCCTGCACTCTTTGCCATAGTATACAGAATGTCCATCATCCGATCATTAACTTGGTACATTCCCAAACTTTTTTTTGGCATCGTCAGTGAGGGGCACCATCATTAGCGCAGATTTAAAATTTATCCAATTAATCAAAAACGGTTATACATAAAATTGGTAAGGGAGATTGCCTTAACTCGTCACTTTGATAAGGTGTGACACTGCTAATGATGGCGCCTCTCACTAGAGATGCCCGCGAAATGATTGGGAATATACCGATGCTGGAAATCATGAATACGATGGCATATGGCGCAGGACTATGTCCGTTCAACAAGGTCCTCCTGATGCTCCGATTAAATTGCGAAAACGAGGTTGAATGAACACTGTAAAGCTAAAGGAGACTGCGACCAGACAGAAGGCCACACCATCTTGGTCTTCATAACTACTATTTATACCTTGTTGTCAAACAGCAAACCTATCGTCAACATAACGAAATGATAACTTTGGAACTAGGAGTGCCTCTTGAAAGACCCGGATTTCTATTTGGGCCATGTAGTCATTGGCTAAATTAGAGGCTATTCAAGATCGCATAGCCAAGCCATGCGTTTGCTCATAGAACTTACCGTTGAAGTTATAGTATGTATTATTAATTTCCAAATTGATTAATTTTATGATTGAATCTTTGCCTAATTTTTGCCTTTATAACCTCCGGTTGTTGATATAGAGGTTATTATAAGGCCTTTATTACCTCTTTTACTGGAATGTTAGTCTACATAGACACTACATCGTAATTTACTAGCAAATCTATTCTTTTTATTATCTAGTCATTACCTAACTTTATAAAGTCTTAGGAGTTCCTTATCGCAAACTTCCAAGTTTATGAGATTTGCTTTAACTGATTATATATAAATCGTAGTGTTTTGTGCATCCCACTACCTCCATTATTTACAATAATCCTAAGTGAGGTATCTTGCTTATGAATTTTGGGCAGACAGTACGCATTTGGGGGTCTAGCATCTGGCTGGAAAAATACGTTTATTTTCCCCTTTATGAGTTTTTCCTTTGTTTACACATTGTTGCATTAACTCTAAGACATGTCGGATCCCAAATTATGGTTCAATGCGTTGCTCCAACATCTTATGTCTATAATATTTCCTCTACGTATTTAATTCTGCTCATAACTAAATGCTTCTCTTTTGTCCCCACTAATAATTGGTAATTTGCCTTCAGTTTCCTTATTCAATTATTAACTGTCCTATTCTTATATGGTGCTTCTACATAGCAATCAATTAAAGGGACAACTTGTAATTCAATGTCACTCCTAGCATCCTCTGAGTAACTATCTGTTATTCTTATAAATTCTGCTCATATTTCTTTTTTGAAGTCATTACGATTCGGAAAGGCAAAATTTGAAGCCATTTATATGACCTCAGAATAACTGTCCAATACAATTTTGGAAACGACCTTCCTTTCCTTTTACTTGCTTAGATATGTATAATTTCCTTGAGCTGGTTCTTATACTAATATTTCTTAATTTCTGATCTGTCGAAAAACTTTTTCATATAACCTATCCGCTATTATTTGGAGCCTAAGCAAGTCTTCAGAATTAAGAGCCTCGCACATGATTGATTCAGGTTCTATTTTATGAATGCAGCTTTGCAATGCTGCCTATGAGTTGCCTATGTTAAAAGATTGTTAGACGATGAACGCATGCATGACGTAACAAAGCTTGGCGTCATGATTACTAGTGGGGATAATTCATCACACATGCTTTTGTTGTTGATCGACTTAGAGTTTGTACTATTATGCCCTCCTATTTTTTAGCTTATCTATTTTATTCACCTTTCTTTAGCTGCTATAATGTATGGTCTTGAAATTTATACAAATATTTTGCTCAAAACCTATGTTTTTTTTTCTTACATGCTTTTTTTTATTGTGAGTGTTCGAGATATTTTATTTTCATACATTCCCATTTTGACTCACTTTTGCATTTCAGGTTCGAGTACATTCTGCAGTGTCTCTACTCACCCTTTTTGTCAGGCCTTTTGAAGATATTACATTTGATATTATCGAAATCCTTAACTCCTCCGTCGCATACATGGATCAAGATCCAAATGTGATGCCATCCTTTTTAGTGCTGGATGCAGCGCTCTCTGTGCTGGTTAATCCCAGTCTAAGTCTTAATAGCTTTCCAGAAGATGAAAATTTCGATTTAATGGTGTCTGGTCTGTCTTCTGGTGATGCTAAACATGACGGGAAATCGGAATTTTGCTTATCTGGCAGCCAGTATAGATATCAATGTCTCTATTTATCGGCTCTTCTTTTTTTGTACTCTCTTAGCAGTCTGATTAATCGGATATGCATTTCATTCTCATTTCAAAACCAGCTTTTGCGTCAAAGGCTAGATGGAGTTCTAACTGCACGTTTTAATCCTCAGCTCGTCACAAATCTTACCAATGCGTGGTTCCGAGCAGGCCAGCTCTCTCAGCAATTAGATATGAATAAAAAACTCGGCATTTGTCATGACAATGCGGAATTATGCTGCTTTTATCAGGCACTCTCATTTAAACCATCGAATAAGGCAGAATCGAATGAGCTCGTTTCTCCCATCTCTGAGCTTAGAAGAGCTGTTCATACATTCAACAATCAGCTAGAACAGATAAATGAAGTCTTTATTGATGATTATTTGACAGACCACAACCAAATTAATTCTTTATCGCAGCTAGTAAATAACTTGGACAAAGAATCACTGTCAACCATTTCATTTTGCCAAATTCAACATAACACAGATGAGCACCTCTGCATTTCTTCTGATCTCGGTCAAAATTCTGTATCAAGACGAAGCGCTTTCAAAAATATTTATGACTAGTCACATTTCAAGTTACCTTTTAAAATGAACGAATCTTAGGTTAATGTATTAAATGATCAAGTTGTGGTCGTTGTAACTGATGTTTGTCTATTATTTATTAATTCAAAAAGCTGTTTAATATGATACCTAATTCTTTTTTCTCCTATCATTATCGGAAACTTTTCGCTCGATTTACCTGGGAAAAGAAGTCGTTTTAGAAGACATTCAGACAATTTGCATAGCCTTTTATTAAAATAATAATAGATCAAAATTTACTTCA